CAGCTCGGAAACGGAGAAAAGAGGGGTAATAAGGCAGCCCGATAGAACCGGGAGTCAGGGAAGAGGAAAAGGACAAGCCCAGCACCAACGCAGCACCCGAAAGGAGAGCAAGACAGAGGGCCAGGAGAGACGACTTGCGGTGAGCAGGACAGCCAGTTACTCGACGACCCGGACACGACAAAGCTCACCAGCTCGAACACCCGGCTCATATTCTTGAGACCGCAAATCACGGATTTCGCTCCTATTGTACATACATATCATAGCTATTAGCCGGCATCGTGTTTGCCTCTTCTCCGAGATTGGCTGATTAGCAAGCCAGGGTATGCCGAGAAGAACGCGTTCTAAACAAAAGCCGATCTGCACAAAACCCTGCAGATGCCGACAGAATCATCGTATTGCGGCACCCAGCAGCCGTGTTTGTACCTTCTCTTGCAGCGGAGGCAAGATTCGCGCTGCAGGTGTTTCTTGGCAGGTCTTTGTAGCCGAACACTGATCGCGAGGACGGGTCCAGAGAAACCGGTACAGAGAGACTGGTGTGCCCCAGCCTCCCCTCGCACAGTCTGGATTCGCTACCGCAGAAGCTCCAGCCAAGTTTGCCGCTTGCATTGAGGCATGACAACCTCTTCGATGTGGCATAAGCTCAGCTCTTCAAGTAACCAAATTCCGCGTACAGGACTGGTGCCGCATGGCCTTCGAATACCTCCAAACATTCACCAGAGTCCGTTGACCAAAGCCTGGCTGTGCCATCCCAGGAAGCTGTTACCAACATGTTGGCCCAGGGCGAGAAAGAAATCCATGTCACCGCATCCTCATGGTCTGCAAGCGTTAGCAGCAACTCACCATCTCGACTCCACAGAGTAGCTGTTCCGTCCTCACATGCCAATGCTATGTTGGCACCTTCCATGCATGAGGCCGCCATGTATACTGGCTCTGAGTGGTGCGTGCACGTCCACCTTAGTTCGCCTGTTGCAACACCCCAAACTTCCGCACTTCCACTGGCTCGTGTGGCGAGAACCAACTGGCCATCGCTGGAGAAGTTTACAAACTTTAGCTCGCTGTCGCCGATCATTTCGTGAAGGCGCGTCGCTGTCGTCCCATCCCAAAGGCGTACTGTCGTGCTGGATGCCGTCACCACCAGTGTACCAACCGGAGAAAACTCTGCTCGGTTGACACCACCGGTGTGCCCTTCAAGCCTTGCTGCGAGCTCGCCTGTGCCAACTGAGACAATGCAGGCTGCACCATCTGCGGGTGATGTGAGAACCCATTGATCATCAAATGAAAAAGTTGCCAGGTAGACTTCTGCGCCGTGCGGAAAATGCCAATGCCTTCGGCCAGTGTGGCTGCACCAAAGACATGCTGTGCCATCCTGTGATGCAGTGACCACGAGACTGCTGCAGCTTGAAAAGACTGCAGAATACACCTCTCCGTCGTGGCCAAGACACAACAGCTCAACGGGTTGCCCTTCGTGCACAGCCCAAACACGAGCTGTGCCGTCCTCTGATGCCGTCGCAAGAAGGCGGTGATCTGCAGAGATTGTGCAAGCAAAAACCTGTCCAAAGTGACCCTGGAGCTCCAAGCAATCTCCGGTATCGAGGTCAAAAGCACGTGCTGTGCAATCGTTTGACGCGGTGACCACCACACGGGCCTGGGCAGAACAGACCACATCAATTAAAGCATGGTCCACAAGTACTTGGTCGACAGCCGCCGTTTCCGATAGAATTACACCGCCGTACAAAAAGCTCCAAGTCCTGCCAAGAGGTGTTAAGGAGCCACCTGCTTTTTGCATAAGCTCGTCTCGCACTTGTCGGATTGTACTGTGCCGATCTACCTGCAAACTCGAGATCAATCTTCCGCTCAATGCCAAACGAAAGTCGATGCTGAACTTCACATCGTCGCACATGCGTAATTGGCGCGAAAGACAGGGCTTTTCAGATTCACAGCCAGGAGCTGCGAACAAAAGCCGTATCCCCTTTCACAGGAAGTGCATCGCTGGGATCTTAACATGATAGGACTATACGATTTCCATGAAAAACTGATTGATTGATTGAACCTCTGTGGCTGCGAACACTACGAGTATGTTCTGCTCTTGCTCGGTACTGGTCAAATGCTGCACTGCTCGCGTCGAAGCAAGACTATGGATTAGCGGCACCTCCATACAAAGCACACTGCAGTTGGCATTACTCCTTTCCTACCTCTGCGACTGCTGCCTTCAGGCTGATTCATTTGCAGTTGTTCGTCGAACGCTTATTTTCCAGGAGCATCCGGACGGTCTGCATTCCTTTTCCGGCTAGGAAACAACCTCATTATCGTTGCCAGGGAGCTCTTCTTGTCCGTCGAGCCCACATTCCTCGGGTCTGCTGTCGGTAAGGCTATCACGAGGAAAGATAATAACATATTATGTTGAAGAAAACCTCTTGCCAAGAAACATCTCGAAGCCGCGAAACGAGCTTTCTTTGGCGGTCGTCGAGGTGGTATGGCACCTTTTGAGTGGCCACATGTCGCTAAAGAACAGGCTCTGACAGCTGCGCCTGACCTCCACCCGCAATGTCACATAGTGGTCGCCTGCGGAAAGTGAACGTGCAAGCCCCACTCCAAGGACATGAGCTGGAAAGGGCGACGGCCAAAAATCAAGCGAATCAACGACACTGGATTGAAGGTCTCCAGTCCTCGCTCTCCTTCGAGACCGAGTTTTGGGACACCGCGTCCTTGCAAACGCATCGTTGTCCCGGGCTGCGTTCCTGCCGGAACCTGCGCATCGGGACAATTCTAGTTTCCACTGCCGTCGTATTTCCCTGAGGCCTAAGGCCCTCCTGGCAAGAAAGCCAAAGAACCACACAGTGCACAATAAATGTCTTCAAAAGGCACGCCTTCACGGACACGCCCTTACCATCCACCGTGCGGATCTGAACAGATGTCCCAAGCATGGCATCGAAGACACTGATGACCCGCTCATTGTAAATGTCTGTACCATCCCTGACATACTCATCGGATTGGCCAATCTTGAGTGTTATGTACAAGTCACCAGGTGGGCCTCCCCGGGCACCTTTGTCGCCCTCTCCTCGCACACGAAGCTTGCTGCCAGCGTTGCAACCAACTGGAATACTCACCGCCACTTCGCAGAGTTTGCTCTTCGTACCTTTGCCGCCACATGACTGGCAAGTTGCACTTGGATCTATTCCGGATCCTTTGCATTTTGGACACACCTGTTGCGTTTGCATACCACCCAAAGGAGTCTGCAGAAATTGGGCAATAACGCCAGACCCCCCACACCTGCGGCACTGCTGATGCTTCTCTTCACCAGGAGTGACGCCTTCTCCCTGACATGCCTCGCACGTCTCCTCTCTGTTGATATGTACAACATGACGTCCACCAAAGCAAGCGACCTCAAATGGAACTTCGACCTTACATTGCAGGTCTGAGCCCTTCTCGGCCCTTTTTCTCCGGGCTCGCGTGCGGCCTCCCTTTCTCGCATGCGCAGCTCCACCACCAACCCCAGTTCCTCCAACACCTCCGTTTGGACGGCCACCAAAGAACGAGCTAAACACATCGCCAAGAATGTCATCGAGGTCTACATCGGACAAATCTGGTCCAGAACTCATGCCAGAAAGGCCACCATCCCCAAACTGGTTATATTGCTTTCTCTTGTCTGTGTCTGAAAGAACCTCGTAGGCCTTGGCAATCTGCTGGAACTTTTCCTGTGCTCCGGGCTCTTTGTTGATGTCTGGATGATACTGGCGAGCCAACTTTCTGAAGCTCGACTTGATCTCTCGCTCGTTGGCGCTCTTGCTGACTCCGAGTACCTCGTAATAGTCGATCACGCCACCTGCGTGGCGTGCGACCCTGCAGACCCTTCGCAAACATCGGCGGCGCTGGACGGAAATGGTGCCAAGCACAAAGCCAAAAGTCTGGCAGCTTGCACCTGCAGGTAGAACATTTCGGAACACTTCGGGCCTTTGCCTGGCACCGGAGTTAAAGATGCGGATCTTTGCGGCATCCTGCTGGCTTGGGAGGAGCAGCGGACCCCTTCGCAGGTAGCTCGCATCCATGGCAGGGGCATGCAGGGGCAGAGGCAGGGGCGGTGGAGGGCATCCGTGGCCGTGGCCGATCCAAGCTCCCTGTTGTCTGGCCTTGCACTTCGTCGAGGTATGAGAGACCAAGGCCAAGTACAGTTCACGCTACATCTAGTTTTTTCAAGCTCACGTCTCCGGCTTGCGAAGGATTAGACTTGTGTTACTCTGTGCGTCTGGGTCATGCTTGCAGCTTGTATGCACCGGGAGTCTTGATCACTGAAATGCACGCCAAAATCGAACCAGAATGTCGGACATAGTTCGAAAACAACAACTCCACAGTGGATGTGAAATCATGTGACAAAATGTGGCAACTTGCCATTTACATTCTGCATCATGTCGACACCCAGGCTTCTCAAGCAAAGAGCTTCAGGCCACCAGCAAAACCTTTGCAATCGGCTCAGTATCAAATCAGTGCCTGGTCACGGGCACAGCAGATACGGACACGAAGACTTTGCAAATTGTCATTCCCACATGTCCTGCCGAAGAACAACACCCTTCAAATTGTAAATCACAACTTGGTTGACGCAGAACAAGATCCTGCAAATTCCATCAAATTCCAGCCACCATAAATAGCTTGCAGCGAGACAGAGCCTGGCAAAGTGCAAATCCACACTAGCTTGCGCGTCACATGACCTTGCCAACTGTGACGATTCCCACATGATTTATAATTAAGTAGTGTTACTTGCTTTCGGACTTTCTTCCCTTCTGCCCCTGTCCATGGCTGCTATCTCCTTAATTGCTCTTTGATGCTTTTAAATAATATTCGTGAGGCCTACCCAGGGCTGCTGCATGCCTGCATACATTCCAGTCCCACTTGCTTGTGGCAGAACAAGACTGTTTTCCACACAGCTGCGAGCGCAAGCTCCTGATCCAAAGGTCGTGATGGAGCAACTGATCATGCAAGCAAAAGCGGCAAACTCATTTGGTCCCAAACCCAACAACGAGATGCCAGGTGCTGCATCAAGACAATCCATGCTGTTTAATACCAGCCGCTCTCACAGAAGCAGTTACTGTGATGAAAAGCTGCGAAGAATGTCCTTGGCAGAATTGGTGGGACAAGCCTTAGCAAAGCTTGTCCACATTAACAGTGCTCCATTGGCAACTGTTTGGCATCCACTGGCAGCCATTTGGACAACCAAGTGTGGGAGCTGCCGCGAACTCCCGTTTCGGGGTGTCGAACCAGCAGAACGCCAGGCAGCGGGCACAAGGAAATGATAACGTAGCTTCACGACACAATGTGCTCTACCCAACCGTTGGCAAGTACTTGTTCTCATAACCCGGTTTGCCTAAGGTCGCATGCCGCTACCATGCAGGCAGGCGGCGCTGCAATTCCATCTCCAGCAAAGATTGCATGGGAAGCAGAGGGCCACCGATTGAAGTGATGCAATGAGTAACTGACTTGAGCGGCCTCTGCCTATTTTTGGCTGCATTACTGGCAGCGAATGCTGCAAGATCTCCAAGCCAGCGAAGTAGTGGCCGAAGCAAACGTGTTGCGAAAACTACTGGCTTCTTGGCTAAGCTCTCTGGACATACCAAACTTCGCCGGCAACATTAGTGAGTGATAGGCTCATCATCTTCAAGATGATCTGAAGACCTCACATTGTCTTCATCCAGAGGTTCTCGACTCCCGCTACACAAAATGTAATTGAAGCATCTCCTTTCCCAAACATCTATTACGAGTACCAACTTCGAGGAACATGTGTGCACGGTCGGAAGAAACAGGTCCCGCGAGTTCAAGCAGTGCATGTCTGCATATGATGGGTCAAGATCTAGATTTATCACCACTCGTCCAACTCACATTTACTGGCCTGGCCAATGCCAGGGAGAACGCAGCCTTTTGCGATCACTATGGAACTCTGCATAGAAGCACTGCCTGCACCAATGGATGCTGACATCCATGTATCGTGGACGAGGTACCCTGCTCCTTGCATCATGAGACACTTGCCTCAACTGTGCAGGCGGGGCAGCGCGATTCACCTCGCAACTACACATGAATCTCTGGATTCTTCAGGATGGAAACCGCAACAAAACTGCCAACGTCGAAATTCTCTGTAGATAAACCAGAAAACTCGGGCAGCACGAGCGGTTGACACATTGCTAGCAAATCTTCTTATGCCCGATGCAAGCAAACAAAGGCGAGATCGCAAGCCACGTCTGTGACGAACCCAACAAACCTGCAGCATCGAGGGCGGGACTTCTAGAACGGACATAGCCTCTATCGCTTTCCTGGCATGCGAGTCTCTCAAGTCGCAGCTTGAGACTGTGTCAGGTTTGCTGCGAACATGAATATGCCTCATTTCATCTTTCCCATCGGTCTCCAATAAACTTCTGTCACTGGCCGGTCTAAGCAATGGCTCCATATCCCATACCTTTTTCACGTCCTGTGGCTTTGCCACCCTGTGGTCGCGTTGGCTGAGAACTCCCCATGGCATGTTCAGCCGCTGCTGCGAGACTGTATGCACTGAGATGCATCCCAGCATTGCAGTCGTATTTCCCGAGGGTTCAAAACAAAAGGCTCTGATACCTGGCACGGCACAAGCAACACAAACCGAAGGTCGTGCCTGTGGCCTTTTCAATCCGCGTAATACGCTGGCCTCAAACGTGGACTTACGCGAAGCTCAAGGTCGCTTCTAGTGGCCCTGAATCTGCAAAGGGCTTGCGTCTAAGACTTGCACGCAGCAGCTTGCAGCAGCTGCACTAGTTTCTGCTTCTCTTCCTGGCATGGCCCTACATGATCCGTAATCTGTCCTCAGGCTGCACCAAGAAACAGAGCTCGACGCGGCCTCCGACTGTGCACCGCCCGCCTTGTGCAAACAGGAATACTTGGAAGTGGTGGTGGCCGGTATGATCTTGCGCCAAGCTGTTGTGAGGAGCCGGCCCAATGTGGAAACGAGAACGGTGGCACCTTGCCACATGTTGTGTATGACAGCATTGGGGACTTGGTTTGCCATTTGTATAAGTTTTTGAACAGTTTGCAGCTCATTCAGGCTGGCACCTGTTGGCAAATCATTTGCCTGGGCGGTGTTCTCTTTGCACTTGCCGACAGATGAGCGAATGCAGAGTCCGGGCCGAGGCGGCCGAGGGCTGCCAAAGGTATGCTCAGGTGGCGACGGTGCAGCGGGAGCATTCCGCGCTGTCGGTGCAGGCTCTGCGCTCTGCGGCCATACTTGTGAATTGCGTGAGCTCTGCACAGTGTCAACAGGCACAGCCTGAGTCAGATGCTGACAAGAGAGGACAATACATGTGCTACCAGCATCACTCTCGTGCCAGGCCTGATTGTTCCCTCCCCAGGCCGGCGGTACCGTGCCTGTTGCCACAGAGCCCGTCCAAACCATGGGCCTCAAGATATCGCCAGGAATTGGCAAATCTCTGGTGATGCCCCAAACAAGAGGGGGGGAGAGCTCTGCATTACAACGAGGCATACACATCGGGACCAGAATGTTGCAACGGGTTTGGAACCCTCGGGTGCCTTCAAGAGGCTAAGCAATAGTGCGAGCTTCGCCGTGCTCGGCTGACAGGTTGGTGACAGCAGTGATTGAACAGTTGCGATTCCTCGAGAGTGTCCACGTCCAATCATGCACTCATGACTCGAGCACATCAGCATGAAAAGAAGATGCCACAAGGTGCGCATTCTCTCGCGGGACGCCGTTTCGGGAAATTTAGCGCTCTTGATTGAAAGCCTGTTGTTGTTTCGTCGTTCGTCGTTGACAGGAACCGGTGGTTGCCCGTATGTCGTGCGACTAATCGCGAGAACATGTATAAAGGGATAGGCCGTTTCACCACAAGAGCAACATGCCAACACCAGAAGGCGAAATAATCAGCTGAGAACAACACGACCAACCACCAGCTGGAACTGTGCCACCTGTCTGGACCAGATCCTACGCAGGGTCGGTAGATTGCACCCAGCTCAGGCCGTGGCAGGTCAAGCTTGCACATGGGACCTCAAACACATACGAACAAAGATCCCCCAGTGATCGCCTCACTTTAGTCTCGTCAATGATGCACCCGGAAGACAACCCAAGAAGACGGCGAATGGGGAACTCTGAACTGGCCGTTGCACCGGTTGGGGCTGGGACCTCGTGCATGCCCAGAAAATGGTGGGGCATCAGCCGAAGTGTTTCACAAATAAGGCTGCAGCCCATGCTGTTGGTCACTCCTGCAACGAGTCGGCACTCGCCACACGGGAGGACGGAAATCAAACTGCAAGCATGCACCCAGACCTGGTCTGCTGCAGGCTCCAAGCTTGCTTCGACCTTAAATGCCACAAAATCAACTAAGCACACATCGTGATGCCACATGTCTAACACTCCTTGAGGGTGCAACGCTTCTGGATGCGGCGCCTGCCTCTCTCCGATGATGTCGTTGCCTGCTTATTTGGATGGGCATACGAAGACTGAGTCGACTAAGAGCAATTCTGGACACCTCAATGCGTGGGGCCCTGGCTGCTTTTGGCACGCTTCACCTCAATTCGCCGCCCGTCCTGACAGTGACATGGCTGATGTGAGCTGCGGCAGAACATCGAACACCGTGACATCGCCATTCCTTGATTTCCATGAAACAAGAAGGTTCTGCACCAAGAAGCTCATCAACCTGACGGCCATGCTGGATCTAGGACCCACAGGATGCATCAACATATCAGGTCACAAACCCATCTGAGAGCTCGTCCATGCTGGCATCTTGGAATATGACGAATCCAAAACCGCGATGGCTGGGCGAACGCTGCGCAGATGCCTCGACCCAGGCATGTTAATTCTTGACAACACCGAGGGAGGAAGTCCAGCATGCTGGATGTACTGCATGCGTCGCACAAAGGCCCACACATGTCCAAAGTCGTTATCATTTTGGCGGTGGCGCTGCAGCCAAGCCTTCACGGATTGAGAACTTAAAACTCAGCACAAAGGTTGTCCTCCTTGCGCTAAAAAAATTCGCCTTCGTCACCGCCCCGAACTGGCTGAACAGTTCCTGCTCTAGTTCACACCCCAGGCTGGTGCCGATGTGCATCTGCACCAGTAAGTCGTTGACGCATAAATCATCTTGCGTAAAATCTTGGGGGATGCCACCCACAAAAACTTTTCGTACCTGGCACAAGTTCGATCACAAACACGAGCTCACAAATTGGGGGCGGGAGGGAGTCAGCCTGAGAAGGCGGGATTGCCCGGTACCGCTCGAAGTCCTGCATACACACGGAAGTGGCAAAACACGGACTTGGAGTTCCATAGCTTATTAGCCTGGGACGGTGTCGGAGCAGCAGAAGATGGAGCCGGGCTGAACCTGGCGACTAAGAGAGCTCAGTTGGGTCTGCGATCGTGGCCTCTAAGCACGGCCAAGCCACTGCAGGCGACCTTGGCAACATCCACTGGTGACGCCAACTCGACTGCCACGACTCTGTGCAGGGCTAAGCTCCAGGCATTGGTCGTCCAAGCTCGGGGTTGCACCTGCATTTGTGCTGACGGCGCTCAGGGGTCTGTTCCTTAGAAGCAGAAGCATAAGCACAGCTAACGAAGATACTCGACCTCGCAGCTTGAGCCAGAAACTCCCAGGGTAGACGTCCGGGGGTTGCCGCACCTGACGATCTCACTTCCAAAATGTAAGGCAATCTCAGTACCGCATGCCGAACCAGCTGTAGACAGCCTGCCGAAAGCTTCCACGATGTGCTGCTCCATAGATCTTTCAACTCCTTCGACAATGCCAACTGCTCCAAGCAGGACGCTCCTACCTTGTTTGTCCAACCTCTCACTCTGAAGAACCTGTGCAGATTCGCATGGGCGTAAGCAGACCCGTATGTTACCAGAAACGTGCTGTCACTGGCAACGGTGACAAATCGTCGCGGATGCTTCAAAGCTGCTATTTGAGGTCTTTGAGGACAGTGACGTTACAAAATCCAGCTCGCCGTATCTTCTATCGCTGGTGTGGCCTGCATGCCCTGCTAGGAGGAAGTTGGGACTGGCACAGCCAAGCTCCGAACTTGTCAAGACACCACGGAGACTTGATCACGTCACTTTGTACAGCGAGTGCGTACCAGGCCAGAAGCTTCTCCACTGATGGCGCGAGGACATCATGTTGCGAAAGATGATGGTCATTCTTTTCAAAGGACGGTGAAACTTGCCCGGGCGAGTGAAGATCGAGGAAGCACGGTGATGGAAAGGGAGTGGGACCAGATTGGCGGGAGCATTGGTGAGAGTCAGAGCGAGGCTTTCAAGGCTGCCACAAACCTGACTCGGCACAAGGCCGTCGTGTGCTGATCACTAGACGCACGTTAAATACTTACCGTGACGTCCAGCGAAAGCGGCAAATTCATGCAAGGCCATTTGTAGACAAGTAATTCTGCCAATGTACAAATGATAAATGGAAGAACAAACTAGCAGCTGCTCCAAAGTTTTATCCTACCCTGACATGGCCTTGCTGCAGGCTGCCTCTTCGGTTCCTGGCATGCCGGCAAGCCTCGCAGGCTTTCATCTCTTGCAACAGCAAAGAGGCGATCCATGCTGGGCTCCGCACTGTTCCAACCTCATGACAAGGGGAGGCATATTTCAGCATCTCTCCATGACACCTGGCCTGCTGAGGCACTGGCGATGGTGCAGCAGCGTTCGGAAAAGGCCGTCGAGGCTGTGGGCACAAAGTCTCAGGCCTAGTCCGGTCAATTCCTCAAACACCAAGCAAGCTGCAAAAACTGCAACAAGTCGACCCATAGGGCTCCAACGAGGGGCTTCCGACAAGAGCCTGGTGGAATGAAGCACACGACATCGCGAATGTGCACAACCGGCGGGAAACAAATACAGGGCCTTTTGCTGCGGAGAGCCCCTGCAAGGAGTTGTGGGTGCATCCACCTACATCAGGAGGCAAATGGAAGCAGGTTGGTAAAATGGGATAGACCACAACATGGAAGACGAAATTGCCTCGTTGTAGCTTCGCACAGGGCTTTGAAGCATCTCTCCTGCAGCCAGAGACGGCTTACGTCCCACGACAGAGTCTAGAGAGATAGCTTTGGGCCGAAAAACAACTGCTAACCTCTGCTCCCATTGCTTTAGAGACTGCTGCCGGCTGATTGACCTTCTGGATGTCCTGTCTGTCTTACAGATGCTGACGTTCCCGACGGCGGAGTGTGTAAGTAGCATGTCACATGCGAAGTCGAACTCTTGTTTTGGGTAGACATGCATTGTGCAAGTCAACCGCGGCTCATTTGGTAAGCACGCTGCTCCACATAAGGCCAGAGTATCTCTCGCCCAAAGTGGGACAGTTCCGGTTCCGGCCCAGCCCAAGTCATTGAGATCTTGCTATGGTTCCCCCTTTGCTTCCCAATGCTTTCAGTTTTGCCAGACTGCCAGACCTGCATGTTGCAGCGTCAGGTCTCAATGCGCCCGATCAGCTGCTCCAAGCAAGTCACAGAATCGAAGCTGAAGCTTGCACAGTGTCAGTCATAGGGATCAGAAAAGAAACAACGTTATGGACAGCGGTAGGAGCATTCAGGGAAGGACACGAGCACTTGTTGATAACTTCATGCGTACATCGACCTGCTCCTCCGCTTCGTCTGCGGCGGTCTGCTTTCTGGTTGCCTTGGCCGCTTGAAAACACATGTGCGCCATAACAATAAACTCAAAGCCGGCTGCGAGCAGAGGCACTCCGCACTTCTGGACATGTCGGTGCGCAATTACTTGCTCTGCCAGCAGCGGTGTACTTGCAAGGTGGCTTCGTAAGGATGCTGCGCTGACTACTCATTGTGTCGTCAGCCTTTCTGACAATCCTTGCCAAGCAAAGCTCTGCTCAGTCTGGGAACGGAAAGCCGAACCGTTGAAACCTGAATCGCACACTGAGCCGCACGCACTGCGGAGCTCCAACCTCCGCCAGATAATTGGGAAAAATCATTCCCAATCTGAACCGAAAATCGCCGCGGACATTGCATGCACAAACAGCTTTCATGATTGTGGAATGGCCAATGGAAGCCAGCATCAGCACGAAGCTACACCGTCTTGCAGGAGTGTACATACGTTGCGGGGTGCAGTTCGGTAGGTGCTTTCTTGCTGTTCCTGCGGAGCGGAGGAAGGGGTGTTGCGTTTGTTTGCTGTTTCTGCCTTCTGTTTCAGGGGGAAGTGTTTACTGTTTTGCTTGCGGAAGGGGGTCTTTGCTTTTGCTGCTGCTGCTGCTGCCGGTGTGTGCGTGTGTGCGCAGCCTTGTTAACAACAAGGGTCAACAAAAATAAAGAATGCAGAGGGCCATCCCATTGGTGAATGGCCAACGAAGAGGCCAATGACAAGAGCTGAAAACGTAACTGCACTAGTGTATAAAAGAAATCAGATTGCAGAGCAAGTAAAGATATTGAAGAGAATCGAAGAGCTATAGCTCGCTTGCTAACCCATGTTGTAGCTCCGGGCATATCGAAGGTCATTTCAAGTCTGTGAACTGGCTCGTTCTCCGTCATAGTGACAGTCGTGAGGCTCCAGCATTATGCAGAAACCTCGGTGGCCAGAAGGATGAGTGCAACACATCTCCAAAATACTCCCCTACATAAATTTTGGAAGACGTCAGGAGATGGATAGTGTCCACTCGTGCGCCTACTTTGAACGTCTTCTACGCGCCAGACTTGTGACCAGCAATGCGTAGGTTCTTCGACATGCCGAACTTGTGAGGGTTGACAAGCTGGCAGCAACCTAAAATGAAAAGCGGCGTGGGGGGGCTGCGGCTCTGACCTGCGAACTCCGATACTTGCCGACCAAATTACAGATGACACAAGATGCGGAAGCAACGGTGCAAAGAGGATAAGAGATGGGCTGCGGCTTGCCCTGCGAAGCTCTCACGCATCAAGTAGAAATATAGGATACCCTAGACCCTAGACCTACAAGTCGTCGGATGATGAGCAGTTGCTGCTTCCAAGTTGTCTGGATGTTGATCGACCCTCTTCATCTCATCCTCATCGTTGCCCTGGTTCTGTATTTGTCTGCAGGCTTTCTGTTGCTGCTCTGTTGTTGCCATTCGAAACTTGTTTGGCTGTTGAATCCTGTCATGCCATTCCGCCAGGGTGCTTTCATCACACCTTCAGTTCACCGTCTCGACTCCTCAGCCCTCTTCATCTCACTGTTTTTTGTTTAGTTTGTTTGTTCACTTGCTAACCACACTTCACGTAAGGGTAAGGTTTAAACATGTCGGCTGGTGCAGCCTCATATTCGGAGGTGCTGCTGCTTGCATGTTAAGTCTCTGCAGCTGGCGATACTGGGCAACCGCAGTCATCGGTCGAAAGTTACATTGGACCATCTTGGGGGAAATCATTCCGACCGAAATTATGGGGAACCCGGCGCACTTGCGGAACATCTAAGTAAGGAGGGGCGCATGCTGGGTCGAACATGATAGGCAGGTAACGAGTCTGCCAGAATATAGCTTCTAGCTACAATCACGTCCACCACTTTTCGGCGATACCAAGGCCACTGTCCAGTAAACGAACATAATGCTGCCTGAAGACGAGGCGCATGGGAGTAGGGCAAGGTCCCATACATCAGGGGACCAGGGGAATGGCCGGAACTCCCATGCACGAACAGAAGAACCCTTCTACCTGCCACCTGCCGAACAAAGGACCTCTACGGAAAGAACAACTTAGCGATGCAACGGGCAAATCGTGTACGAATCATCGAATAGGTGGAGCTTGAATTACTTGACTAGTTGGTGTTCTACTTTGCTGCTCCAAGGAACCTGCAAGCGCAACCTTTCGCACTTTCGCAACAACATCAAGCACTCTTCACATGCTCTGTCGAGCATGTGAAGGAGCACGCGGGGATTCTGAATGATGTGGCTTTCCCGCAGCACGGAAGCACGGGATCTGAAAAAGCCCGAACCAGGTGCTTTCTCGATCAAAAAAACCATGAGCTCCCAGCTGCTGCTCGTGGAACATGCCGTACAAATTGTGCTCAATGAATCATCCATAGGGAATTTTGCTTGCCACATTTTTGCAGCGACAAGTGCAGTGCGCCACGATTTTGTTTCCAAGTGACTAAAATCGGCATACAGGGTCTCATCAGTTTGCAGACGGGCTAATGTCCAGTGAGAGAGCAAAGCCAGCTGCTGTCGCCACTTGCCACATTTGCCGCATGCACCAATCGCGGTCGCACATACAGCAGGGTTTTCGGCCGCTTTGACCGCTTGGGCTTGCATCATCATAGCGATCGGCTGCTTCCAATTCATTCCGCGCAAACAGGCCACTTGAAGTGAAGAGATCATGACCGCATTCAGCAGCAAACCTCTGCCTGCAGCGAGCTGCAGAAGCTCCATGGCTTCGCACCACTCGCCAGCTTCTGCCCCAGCTGTCAAAGAACCATACGCATGCTGATCAGGTCGCGTGTCGGTACGGCCGGTCATCTCAAGCAAAGCTAGCCGTAGTTGCCAACTTGTTGGGCTCGCGGAAGCTATCAAAGCGTTGCAGTAGACTCGGTCCACTTCCGCACTACTGCAAGCTAAAGCCGCATGCAACAGCAAAGCCATGTTCCACGCAGACTGCGCGCACGCTCGAGCCAAGCAAGTCCAAGTTTCCGCATTCGGCACCGCATGTCTGCAAAAACTTAGGGCTTGCTGCCAGCGCGTTTCCACAGAGGCCGCAACACTGATTTCTACAACAGCGTTGCGGAGCTGGCGAGCTTGGCAGCCTTTTAGGAAGTGGTCCAGACACCTCCTCCAGCCAGCTGGCTCACTGAAGCTGACGGCTGCACTCCAAGAAATCAGGTTCGACACTAGCCCACAGCGCACCAAGTCAGAAAATACCAACAAAGGCACTTTCCACTGTAGCAGATGTGTTCGGCAGGAAGTGGCGGCTCGCCGTGTGAGGAGCGCGGTACCAGAGTAAGCGTCCAAGCGCAACGACTTCGAGAGGGCATGGTTCAAAGAACAGAGAGACCGTTCCCACACGGTGGCCTTGCCAAAGCCACGTGCAACAGCATTGTGTGTCTCCCGATCCCCTCTCAAGGTAGTGCTGGAAAGCAAACTCTGCGCTTGAAGCCACGCCGCACCACACGAAGTGACCGCGGAGTTTATGTTGATCTGGTCGCTCTGAATGCACGCCATCTGCATTCTCGCATGTATTGTCAAAACACTTCTCCAGCGAGAGGTGCCTCGAATACGTGCACTTTCGCAGATAACGTTGTTTCGCAGTCGCTGACGAGTTGCACTTGACAACAACAACTCCGCGTGACGCCATGCCGAACTGCTGCACGATCCAAGGATCGTGCTCTGAGTGACCCGGTCGCGGCGCAAACCCATGGAGGCCGACAACTGCAGGATGCTAAGGACCAGAGCCCATGAAGCGCAGCACGCTTTCAAAAGAGAGTTAAATGTCACCATGTCCGCATTACCTTGACGCCGGATTCTGGCACAAATGGCAGCCGCCACATTCCAGCTCCGAGAAGTAGCCAGAGAAGCAAGGAGCAAGTTGTGCTGAAAGCAAATCGCGCTTGGTCTCAGGCGCTGGTTGGCGCGCAGTAGCTGGAATGCATCGCCCCAGTCCCGGGGTGGTTTCGTGGACAGCATGTCGAGATGCAGGCTTGCGTGCAATTTGAGCCCACATCTACACGTATCCGCTCTTTCAACACACGCTCGTCCTGCAATGGATGTTGGATCCAGAAGTTTGAGCCAAGAATGCCAAGATTAGTGGTTCGAGAATTTTTTTGCACAACTCCTAGTCATTTTAAGTGTTCTTCGTCCGGATAATCTTGCTCTTAATGCCGTTTACATGATCCTTACATTACTCAGACACTGCAGAAACCAGAGATCTGAAGCTTCCTAAAACTCAGGCAACTCTGCCTGTAAACTGCGTGATCCCTGACTGTGAACACTGGGCCGCTCGGCCCAACAGCCTGACCAATGCCGGGGCTGATTTGTAGAAGCATCGCATGGTCCGGACATAGGCGTCCCTTCGGAAACCCCACTTTCCCTGTGCGCAACTAGCACGAGCCTTTTGAAGCTACAAAGCAAACGCCGAAAAGTCTCTATAAACGTCATTCAGCAAAACTCTTCTCGGAAAGAACCTTTGTGCTTCTGCAAAGGTCAAAATTTCACAAGAACTGGTTCCAAGCAAATTGACCAAAGCCAGCCCTTTGGCCAATTGCCCGCCCCTACCTCTGGAAATAGCAGGAGTCCTGCAAGAGATGTGTCGCCGTGCCACTTGTTGCTGCCTACGACCGCCCCAAGTTCAGGAGGAGTACGGAGACACACCAACCTGGTCAGGCACGTGCATCCCCCAACATCCACTGTCGTGTGAAAGCCTGACTTTTCACTGCTTCTGAGCTGTGAAGTCCGGTTGTGCCTTGGGGTAGTCATTGGGCCGGCCACCCCCAAAAGCGACCGATGCCGCCTTGACGATTTGCTGAACAAAGTTCGAGTCCTGCTCTTCAAGCAAGGCCATGCTGCTGCATGCCAAACGATATGGTCCTGGGATGTCCTAGGGACTGTCGTGTGATTCGGGTCCGGGATGCTTCGCATGCCCTCCGATGCTCTCTCCGTCTCTGGCTTACCGCAGAGACGTCGCGCGTGGCCTGCTAGGACATGCACGGAAGGTGCCAAGCAGGCACGGGGCTGTTACGAGCAACATGGCCCGAGACTTGACACAACATCCGTCCGAGCGTAAGCTGAGGCTAGCGGGTCCCGCTAGCCTTGATCGACATTTGCGACATTGGGCCAGGTTTGTGTCCGAGTCCAGTCCAGCCACGAACTGAACATATCATAACATGTATTAACTGAACCATCGGAATGCGGACGGATCCAGATTTCGACTGCGGTCCTTGACTCCCTGAAGTGCCTGCAGCTGTCCGCGCAAGCTGCCACTGCGGCTCAGGAAGTTGTTGAGCCAGGCAAGTGTGCCTGCGAAGAGAGGGAAGCGAACTGCGCTGAGCTCTGTGCTTCTCGTCTCAAGGCCTGCGTTTTCTGGCGAGTATGCCTTGGCATCGCGCAAGCATTCGAGGGCAAGTCGACGAAGCAGGTCGCTGCGCTTGCTTCGAGGTACGGTCTTCTGCACACCCTCAAGCTCCTTCACTGTGTCGGCGATTCGTTGCTCATCGTCTGCCAACTTTGAATCCAGCTTCAGCAACCTCGCAATGTGCAACAGCCACGCTCTGTCACGTGAGCACGCGAATTACAGGAAAAGATTTATGGTGCTTGCAAGCGGCGCATCGACAGAACAGCCTTCTTCAATGCAGTCAAAGATAGCTGTCATGCATCCCTCGTCACATTCCAGGACCGGCGGTGGGGGCGGCTGCACCTGTGGAATCTTTCGAAGGTAAGACTTATCCGAGGAGCACCGTCTCAAAAGACATGCCTTCTGCCTTCTCACCATCTCAGTCCACACCCTTTGGTCTCAGAGGCCCAAGCATCTGTGTCGGAGATCTCGGCGCCGACGTTGGCTTTCCCGGATTCGTAGGCCCTGCGCGACATCCTGCAGATCTTAAAAAAACGTGAACATCCTCGCTGCAGACTGCTGCTATTGGCTCTGAAAGCTGCCTGAAAAACTCAATGGCTCAATGACAAGGAAAAGGCACTGCGCATGCCTTGCTCTGGAGGGTTTGCTCAGCCAGCCCAAAATCCCGAATCTCTGCTCCTCGTCTGTGCTGGGGAACTGAAGGCTGCAGATGTCAGGTGCCAAACACCTTCGACAAACGCGGCGAAACGACTTCGCGGCTACAGCATCGGATGCCCGTACTCGTGGCCCCCGCCCCTCACGAACCTGATAGAAGAGCCAGCAGGCAGAGCATGCGAACACATCGGCGGACGGCGGTCATTGCGCCTTGCCACGCACGCGGGTATGTCTCCCCCCGACAGCTTCACGGCGCCCTGGCCTACGAGCGATGATGACAATCAGCGGAGAGGCCAACTTCTAAGAGCACCGCTGCTGACAAGCAAGTAAAGGCTGCCAAAGATGTACATGCCGGCATGTCGTGCGCGCTGAAACTTCGCCATGCGGAATTCCAATTGAAATTCATGCTTGCTTTTGCCTCCCCAGTTCTTGCAGCTATGCAGCATAATCCTGAATTGGACAATCACTTCGTGATGCCGCAAAGCAAAAGTGGCAGGCTTTCCGTTTTCACGGACATCCTGCCACGAAGACTGCAATGGGCTCGCAGGACATCTTCTAAGCCTCTGTGCATCACAGGGTAGACGCCCAATTGAACTACAGGAATGAAGTAGAGGTTTCTAGGCTGAGACCGGCACAGAGCCACCAATGTCGGGTATTGCTTCGGAAGCTTTGGCTGTGTCACCATGCTCTCGCTTCTCCTGCACCTGCAGACATTGGGACATGGTGGTAGTCCTGACAAGGCAACTCTGCAGTCCCAGGATGCAAATCTCCGTCAAACTGCCCAACTGCTATGAAGCCGAGGCCGGGCCGTCTGCACAGGGATCTTCGGCTCTTGCTGGGAAGCCGTATCACTCCTAGGGAGTTCCGAATGCAAGTGCTGCTTCTCTGCCACATACAGTACTTAGACGGTAGAGAGGCCTGGTCCATGGATCTTGGTATCGTTTAAGGTTGATGCAGGAACCCTACACCCTAAACCCTAAACCCTAAACCGAAGCGAATAAACTGTGAAACTCATCCACACAGCACGTAGCGGACGTAGCAGCATCAACCAAGAAGCCCGGCCGATCACAGAAAGCAGCCCGAAAGACTCGAATGCAACAGCGATGGTCGTGATACAATCTCGCGAATGATGAAATAGACTTGCCAAGCCAAATCCAGAATCCCCAAAATGCCCAGCCCGGCTCCTGACCCACGTTTTGCGGAGCTCGTCGAGAAACACAATCAGAAACCTGAAAGAACGAGCAAGAATCAGAAAAATGGCTGCTACTGGGCTGCAATTGTTGGGATTGGCAATTTTGGCCAGACGGCAGGGCCATCGACCCGATGACAAGCTGCTGCTTCGAGAGTGCTCGCATGCCGAAAGCGTGCCTCACCGGATGTGGAAGGCAACGAGCCATGCTCAATCCAGCTAACGTCCGTCTGAGGCCGTGGTGCTGCAGGCTGGGAACATAGATCACCGCAGCGGAACAGCAAAACTCAAGTGCCTGCTTGCAAACTTCACTCGGCCGAAAGGAATGGAGACATTGTGCGTGCGACACCAAGCGCCAAGGCTCCAGCGATGAAGAAATTAAGCCAGTTGTTGGGGATGCCGTACTTCACCTTTGCCCCACTGTACCGAAGTCCCCAGCAGTTAGAATCATGCGAGTCAGCTAAGCATTGCCGAATCCATCGCGGGTCCCCCTGCCGAAGCCCATACTGAAGTGTCGTGCATTTTGTGGGCAGAGTTATACAGGATCTTGTGGCTACGCCCGCTCATGGAGGACACCCCGACGATCGAGAAGTCACCGATTCAGCGCTTGCAACTTCCACGGGTCGAAGACTTGTCTTAGCCTGCCCTCACCGTGTTCTGCCGAGGGTCGTAAACGTCATCTCTCCGACGCTACACCCAGAACTTGCTCCCAAGAGGCTGGATCCCAGCTGTTGATACTACATTACGAAATCTACTCGAACGAAAACATCCCGTGGCAAAGCAACCTCTGGACACGAGTAGGACAGCATGGACTTGATCAGGTATTGCGAAATACCACAGTGTCAGAGTCTTGCCATCCCAGCAGCTAGAGCCATAGACGTCGTGGTTGCCGCCTGATGCATGCAAGGCATGCTGGCCAGACCAGAAGTTTGCAAGATTACTGCGAGAACGGAACAGAGCAGACAGCGGCTGGCAGTAAAGAAGAAGATGGACACGACATTTTGTCGACTCCTGTTGCAACAGAAACCTGCAAAAGCCTGCAGGCGAACAGGCTGAGACCAACAAACTGACCTCTTTACGGTCGGACATGTGTCGCGCTTCCTCTTTACTGTCTGGAAGAAGTGAACAAGCACACCACCGGAATGGGATTGCACGACCCTGCCCCAGCGATCTGAGCATACACACGCCCTCTAAGCGAGCCCCATGAAGAGGGACTCAGTATCACAACATGTTAGGCTCTCGTCATTCTTCACAAAGCGATACGACACAAACTGGCGAATGACTGACGACATCACACGCACGCAAACACACCGTGCAAAACTGACTCAACCTGGCGTAAGTGCATTGCAGGCGACAAAGGCTGCACCCACTTGTCCGCATACCAGGGCCTTAGTTTTGACAAGACGCATACGGCCCCACTACCCTTCCTAGCCCTTTTCCCTCGGATCTTCAACGAAGACTAGGCACCCAGTAGTACATGGTTGTGGCTGCTTGGATGGAAATCTTTTCCTGAGCCGAATAAACCACTGGAATCTCGGTCTTGTTGAATAACTTCCACATCTCCGGCATGTAGAAGAAGCTGACCCAGCAGCAAACAGACTGGATCAAACCAACATAAGCGAAGGAGTAGAGCAGCATACCCCTGTTGACGATTGCATCCTTTCTCGGGTGCCGTGGCTTCCTATGCATTAAGGAAGCCTCCGGCGGCTGTGCTGCATACGCAATGGCGGTCCAAATGTCAGTGCCAATGTCGATAAGAATAACCTGAACAGTTGTCAGTGCAACTGGTATTCCCAGGAGCTGCGCAAATGTTGGAAGTGCCTGTGGCACCTTGGAGCACATCGTATAAAGTATCGACTTTCGCAGGTTCTCCGCACAGAGACGGCCCTGCTCAATACCGGCAGCAACACTTCGAAGATCATCATCAAGTAAGACTATGTCTGCGGCCTCTTTGGCCACCTCGGTGCCTCTGATACCCATGGCGATTCCAACCTCGGCCTCCTTTAAGGCAGGGGCATCATTGACACCGTCCCCAGTCATAGCGACTACATGGCCTGCAAATTGCTGATAAGCTTGAACTATTGCCTGCTTGTTCAACGGGGACACCCTGGCAAAGACACAAGCATGCTTGACACACATCTGCCAGAACTCTGCGCAGCTGGGTGCCAAAGAAGCATCTGCAGCAATGTCTGCAAGCGATATTCCATCAGGTGGCTGGCCTCGGCTTTCGATCATGGCTCCGGTGATTGCACGGAAGTCCTCTCCGTCAACCAAGTCGTTCACTATGGTCGAGATTATGCCCACTCGCCGAGCAATTGCCATTGCTGTGTTCGGGTGGTCGCCCGTGACCATAACCGTCTGGCATCCAGCCTCCCTCATGTTGGATATCGACTCAGGCACACCAAGCTTCGGCGGATCTTCGATCGCGAACACGCCGAGAAGTGTGTAGTTCGATAGGGGGAAATTGACATCTTGCGGACCGGAGCCTTTGAACTCAAAGTTACTTGGAGCTGCAAAAGCATACTCTGCCACACACAGCACACGCTTGCCCAAGGCCATGTAGCTCTCATAGCACTTGGTGACTGCCTCCAACTGCTGCTGCGAAAGCCTGCAGCAGCCAACGACAAATTCCGGAGCCCCTTTGAGGAGAAGCTGTACAGATGCTGCTTGTTCACTGTGCTGACTCTGCTGCTCGCCCTTGTCCGGCGAGTTGTGTGCTGTCAGCATCCACTTCGTAGCGCTACTGAAGGGTATTTCGTAAATTTGAGGTGCAGCTCCACGTACTTCTTGCAAAGACTTACCTCCAATTGTACGGCACGCGGAGACGATGGCGACCTCCGTTGGAGAACCCACGAACTGCAGCTCTGCACTTTCCTGCGCGCTAGAATTTAAGAGGCCGCCCTGCACAAGCTTGTTCAATGTGTCATTCGAGGAACCTGCCTGCTGTGCCTCCTGCAGGGACATATTCGTCAGACTCCCGGCATCCATAATTGCAAGGTCTGTGACTGTCATTTTGCCTGAGGTGAGTGTCCCAGTTTTGTCACTGCAAAGAACGTTCACGCAACCAAGAGTTTCAATCGCATCAATCTTTCTCACGAGCACTTGCCTTTTGGCCATCTGCCGGGAGGATATCATCAAGGAAAACGTCACTGTTGGCATGAGGCCTTCGGGGACAAATGTAAAAAAAGCTGTTGAGGAGTTCAGCAAGACCTTCTCCATGCTAAGCTTCTGGGGCGAAAGCATGTTGGCAACCAAAGATAGTAAGCCGGTGCAGGTGGCAGTTATGGCAATCATATGCACGAAATGCTCAATCTGAACTTCCAGCGATGAACGAGGCCGTGCATGCTGCACACCCTTCGCGATCTTGCCCAGAAGAGTGCTATCACCAGTGGCAAACACAACGCCTGCCAATTTGCCTTCAACTACACTTGTCCCCGAAAAAAGGACATTGTTCGACTCCAGTAAAATGGGAGCTTGTTTTCCGTCCTCTATGGCCATTGCCTCCTTGCGTCGCGGCTCTGCTACCGACTCGCCGGTAAGCGCGGAGTTGTCCACAAGTACTGTGTCTGTCATGCTAAGGATGCGGATGTCGGCTGGAACGCGCTGCCCAGCCTCGAGGCATACGACGTCGCCCGGCAAAAGTTGCTCCGGAGCGATTTTTCCGCATTGCCCGTCCCTGTGCACGTCTACATGCTCTGCCGACTGCATCTGCTGCAGGGAGTTCATCATGGACTCCGCCTGCTGTTCCGTCCACCACTGTAAAAGGCCGGCCATGGTAATCACGGTAGCCAGGATGCCAGGTGTGACCAGGTCAGCCTCATCTGCCCCCATGAACGATGCCAGGGCAACTTCGACAGTCACGCAGAACCAAAGCAAAGAATTGAAGACTCCACCAAAGACCTGCCGCATTAAAAGCCACATGCTGTGCGGTTTGATCGGGGGCGTCATCTTGTTCAAGCCAAATTTCTGCAAATGATCCTGTACCTTGTCAGCTGATAAGCCGAATTGCCCTGGCAGGGTGGTTAAGGACAGGCCTGTAAGTGAGGTGTTCAGCAAGTCCTCAAGCTCTTGGCATGTCATGGTGTGCACCAGGGAAGTTCCAGTTGCTGACTTTGGAGATCCCCCGGTCTCTGCCAGGGTAGCTGCTGCCCTTTGTTCCCATTGCTCCCGAATCCATACAAAGGACACGCACGACACGATTAGCAAACAAATGAGTGTTCCAATGATCTGCCCCCAAACATAGATGGGTCCATCGTCTGGGTCCTTCAGCTTCTGCGAAACGTCATTCACAACTTCTTCCTCTGTGTCCACCACCTGGGTTTTGGTGTCCTTTCGGATCTTCTCGACCTCTTTCGTGACTTCCTTGTCGACGCCATCTGGGCCTGGTGGATCATCAGTTACGAGCTGCTCAATTGTGCCAAACCCACCGCCCCTTTGCCGGCGGTATGCCGCCCGATTGCCGTCTGTGGCCAAATGCCGCCGAAGCAGTGCTAGATTCTGCGTCTGTCGCAAGGATGTCTGATGTTCTTGCTGGCCCAGGTCGCTGCGGCCGCCTAGGGCCGAGACGGCCGTGACCACGTAAAGCAAGCGAACGCAAGCCATGCCACTTGTCGCTCGCATGGACTACTGCTATATGGACACAACAAATATGAAAAGCGCAAACTCTCAAGTTGGAGCCGCGCTGAAGGCCTACTAATCAGCTGGCACCATGTGCCATCCTGAGCCGGCGAGTTTACAAACAAAACCAGACAAACGTCGACATCATGTGGTGCCGTGCTGGGAGACGGGGACGCTGGTCCTACAAGAGACTGGGTGGCTGTGCGTGGGGGGGCTGCCTGAGAAGATGAAGACATGCATTCAGGATTCTGAGCACGACTTCGGAAATGTCGAGGAGCCATAATTACACTTGTCACACAGTCCATGTCGTGTCTCCGACCTAGACGTGCACAGCCAGTTTCCCCATGCTTAAATGAACTAACAACCCATCATGAAAATGGCAGCTGCACTAATGGCAGCTGCATTTGCTTGCTTTGTGCAAATCACGAGCGGACTTCAGCCGTTTTGAAGGCAATGCTGCCGGATGATGTCAGCAAGCAGCACAGCTTTAGTGCTGGAAAGCTGAGCAGCATCTGGAGAGGCTGGCTGGTGTTCAGCATCCTCCCAACTCAACGGAGCCTTGCACGTGGTGAAATCTTTGCACAAAACTATCCGGGAGCTGTGGCCTCATCACCGGCTAGGTGCGTGCAAAGTCTATGTGGCGGTCCAACGACGGGTGAAAAACGCTAAGGGGCAGCAGGGTTCAGATCGGACTCGAGTTCCAAAGCTGACTCGGCTGCACCAATCAGCTTGCTAGTATCAGCGCGGTCCAGCGCATCGGGAACATCCTCGGACGAACTACGCACATGTTCGAGTGGCTGCACGTGGCGTAGAAAAGCACGAGGCCTCGGAACTTTGAGGATTGGGACCTGCAATTGAGCTCACTGGTGTTAAATATGCGAGCACTGGCCGCTACGTTTGAACTGGCCTGGCGCTGGTCCAGGGTCTGCCGCACCGCGTTCAGCAACCTCGATGACGACCTTCTACGACAAGACTTGCTCAATGAAAAGTGTCAAAAGCAAGCTATTCTGCTAATATGTGCTCATCACATGCCGATTTGGCCTTCTCTTCCTGCGGGACTGCAGGAGCTCGACCTCAGCAGGTCCAGACGCGCTGGCTCTGAACCCTTCTTGGCTCCCTTTGCGGTTGAAGCTCCTCCCGAATCCGCCGCGCCGAAGGCCACTTCTTCCTCGGGTGCCACAGCACCCCAGGGAAGTATGTGGGCGCTTCCACATGCAGCGTCCTGCACATAACTGGGCATGTAGGCACACACACACACACACATATATATATATATACACACACACGTGCATAACTACATGCGTACATAAACGTCACATAAATACATACAAATATGAATACATTAATAAATAATTAAACAAATAAATGCATAAACAAATAAATAACAAATACACAAATAAATACATAATAAATAAATAATTAAATAAATAAATAAATAAAGAAAGAAAGAAAGAATAGTTTTGGCTCGCGCCGAAGTTTCTGCATGGCAGGCGTCAAGGGAGCTACGAGACGTGTCGACCCTGCTTCAGGCAATTGCAAGAACCCAAGAGGTCAACAACACAGGAAACTAGTCAAGCAGCGCTCAGCTCTTCTCATAGGCATCAGCGCACTTCACACATGAGAGGCTTCAAAGTACTGTAGATCAGTCTCAAAGCTCACAAAGAACTCACAATCAGCAGTATCAGTCAGCAACATCATCGCTCAGACGTTAAGGATGGTAAGGCCAGCGGGCTGGGCCAGCATGGCATCCGGGCATACTCCTCAATACAAGAAGCCTCGCAAGCATACCCTCAAATCGGCTGAAGGTCAGCATTCATGCGCACCTGGATACCACTTCAGCCTAATTTTTTCGAGGCGGTAGCAGGCAGCGTGCCAGGTTGGTGTTGCAACCGTCTTATTGCATTTCAGAATGAAGGCCAACGCAGCTACGCTCCACTGTCCTTCGCACCGGGGCTCTCGTCGTACACAGGAACCGTCCCAAACTATCCACAAAGATTCAACTACCAGGCATATCCACCAATCAACCATTCCAGTCGCGCCTATGCAGAGGCTGAACAGTCCGAACATGCTTACAAGTCGTGGGTTAGCATCTGTGTCGCATTGTCCATGATGTGTCACACCGAAGTCCGGAGGCGAGCCTATAGAGGCCGAGGTCGGTAAATATGGACACGTGCACTGTCAGGAATTGAAGCAACTCACGCCATTCCAGCGGTCATCCATTGGATTCGACAGCCACGCTCACAAGCCAGGCTTCGGCTTGCATCGGAACCGACACCAGCTCACCATCATCATCGTCCACCACTTCCACGACATCGTGTGCATCCAACAGTTCTGGGGAAGTCTCAAACGACTTATGGAGGCTGAGCTGACGAAGTCTCGGGATATTTTCGGGGATGGAGCCGTGCCTGGTCTTGGCCAGTGCCCTTCCAACCTGTTGACTAGGAGCGAAGCGAAGACTTTGTTGATGGTCTCTATGAGATGTATGGGCCGGTAGTCCTTGGGTCCATCTACGACGTCCTTCTTGGGTAGCAGAGCGAGCAGGGAATGGTGCACTTCTTCGGGAAACTCGTCGGCTAGTAGCAAGGCATTGAGATGCGCTCGCAGCAGGTCTCGCCCACTGAAAGCCAGACAACTCGCAAAAACTCGTGGAAATGCCCAAAGGGCCACTGACCTTGCCTTTTTTGAGCTTCTCTACAACCAACCGAAAAGGTTCGTGTGCTTGCTTGCTCCCTGCTGCGTGCATCCAACTGCTGCTCTATCCGCTCACAGCCCTCGCGCTCTGCAACGTCTGTGTCAGTGTCAGGGGAAAACAAGTGACGGAAGTGTTTTTTTCATGACTTCCGTCGCACGTACCGTGCCCCCTTGGTCTCGTAGGAAGTCTTCTGCACTGCCCTTCTTCCCCTGACCTCGCTGCTTCAAGAATCTTGGCACCTCTGGGGGCTGCCTTGCAGGTACAAGTACAAGAGGATGATTAGTCCTCTCTTCGCATGTCACTGCTACCTTCGTTGGACACAGTGTCAGTGATGTGCTGTGTCCCCCTGCGCTGTGAAAACACCAATGGAATGAGCCTCTTTCCCATGTGCTCAGGAAATTCACACACACACACACACACGCAATCCTTGAATGTGCTTATGCCTGCACGCAAGTACACACCCTCATTTACTGAGGGGAAGCTCCTCTTCTGCTGCAGCCTCGCCACCCCACGGCAGGACCATGTCCTGCGGACCTGAACTGTTCCAACCTTCTGCTGAGATCCTACGAACCTCAATCACCATCTGCTGTTTTGGCAAACATGTTCAGACTTGCTCACTCAATGCTCACTCGGGTTTGCGAGCCTTCTTTGCGAGGCGAAATTTGCAAAACGATCTTGCTCTCCACTGGCTCTGCAGATTCAGGCTCGCGGGAATCTGCGGCAGCATCGGGAGGTTCCGTGGGCTTGCCCTCATCGGCCGCACTTGACTGCGCCTCCTGCCAAGAATCGCAACGCAGAACGGACCGGGTTACAGAATCTGCCGCCCCAACAACTTGCCCAACAATCTGCAGCCGGAGCGCATGAATGGGAGGTCCACCGGTCCCCGGCGCTATACTGGAAGGATAAGGTCGCGATCTCTGGTTTCCGGATCCATCCTGTTCAACATCCTGCGCCACGCAGACATAGCCCCTTCCACTGTCATGAAACAGCGGTCGACATTTGGGCCTGCACAGCACCAGGCAACACGGCTTTCGCCTCTGGGCAGACCGAGGTTGCCTGCACAAAGAGCTGCCGGACACCGACACCCTCGAAAGCCACAAGGCTCGGAAGGCAAGCCTTGTCCCGCGGCGTGTCCGCCAGATCATCGCTGATCAAATGCTGGGAGACCCCGCGGGTGATGACCTGGACCGCACATGAGCAACGTCCGATGCGTCTCTTTGGCGCAAGCCATTGCAAACCGGTCCTTCTCATCGCCTTCTTCCGCGCCCTGGGCCTTCACCGAAGCCAAGCTTCCTTTGAACTTTTGTGTTTCGTAGGCTTTGGCGAGGGTCTCTGCGGCAAACATGTAGTCCACTGGGAAGTCTAAATAGTCATCACTCCTGAGCATGCAAACTGCCGCACCTCCTCTCATACACCCACCGACAACTACGGCATCGCCAGGGTACATCGCCGCAAGAAGACGAAACCACTCTCGACAAGTTTTGCAGCCAAGGACAGTGGTTTTGTGCGAACTCGTTCGAGCTCCAGTGGGAGGCCATTGTTAAGGGATATTCTTCTATTCTCGGCCGGTGCCGTGATTCAAAATTATAATACTATCCGATTAAAACCCTGTGCAAAGCAGCAGTCGGAGCTGTTTACATTCTCATTGCAAGATGAGCGTCCAGCTCGGATCTGGCACCTTGTGCAGAAGATGTCGATCCTGAATGGGTATCCGCTTGAACCGCATGGTGCATGGCTGACCTCGGACATTCAGCACCTCGAAAGTGCTCCGCACATCTCCAGAAAGAGCTGGCAAAGCCAGGCACAGATCAGATCCCACAATGCCAATCGTAAGCACAGCCGTCCTCTCCCCATCAATAAAACCGTAGCGTTTGCTACTGTAGCGTGTAGAAACCGCGATAGTGCTGCGAGTACTGCGCGCCCTGGACCGGCTGCAACATCGCAGAAGCTGATGCCGATCATCTGACATGTCTTTCAATTGCCAGCCTTCCTGGTGCAAAGCTGCAGCATGAATAGTGTCCCGCTTTCGGAGGACATCGATATCCAGATAGGTCGAGGAGGGTATAAATGGAGTTCTGCGCGTGCGAGGCTCCATCAAATTAATGATGCTCTTGTTCATGTTCATTTGTAATTCCAGATGATCGATATCATTCAGCTCGCCACCGAAAGGCCGCTCGAAGCCGACAGCAGTTGCATTCAAACACCAAAGGGTGAAGACTTGGACAAAAGTGAAAATGCATGCTCCTGCTGTAGATGCCGACCACTGTACCATGACGAGCGGAGTCAGGATCCAGTGAAAGATCAACAAGGTCAGAGTGGTTTGTGCATACGGGAAAGGGAAGGGAACCTTGGAATGTTTCATAGCATCCTGATACCTGTCCATGCCTTTAGCAAGTTCTGCCAATGTCCGACTTAGAAGCGGGGGCGGCGTGATTAGGACCCCATGGTGCGAGCCGTCGCTTACATATTGCTGAATCCAATAATATAGCAGCTCGACCCGGCAGCTTGAGCTGTCCAACGTCTCGATGCTCTGGTGATCAATGGCAGAAGCATCCAATGTTGGAAGACCCCACGTGTGGTGGTATGCCACGTCTGTAAGTTCTTGTAGTGCTGATGCAGAGAGCAAGCTGAAAAGTCGCATCACAGTATGGAGCCAATTCTCGACTAACAGCGGGTCAGCAGGCGAACTCCTAGAGAAAGCCACAAGGCTGCTAGCAGCCTCCAGCCATGCTGCCATCATCTGATGCGTATCCCCCAGTGCTGACCAAAATCGGGTGTAGGCTTGCGAAGTCCTGAACACGATCACGAATCCAACCAAGAAGTTAAAGCCACTCCAAGCAGCCGACCCACCATTTCCCGACAACATTTCCCAATGAGTGAAATCCACAGTGCCATCGAGTGAGAAGAACTTCCTGGATGGCGGTGGTTCAGAGGGACATGAACCATAAGAGCCCCCTCGTTCAACACGTTTAGTGCACGCCAAGAAGCAACAAGAAGGCAACAATGCCACCTTAGAATGTATAGTCGCATGGTGCCGTTGCTGATCTCACTTGCCACCTGTTCTTGGCAAGATTCAAGGAAAGGCGACCGCGAAGGCGAAGGGGAACACACTGCCCCTGAGACGGAAGAGGAAGGCACAATTGTATTTGCCTCAGGACATCAGGGAGCAACCACCTCTGACAAAAGCAGCAAACTCTGCCAGTTCTGGAGTTGCCGAGCTGCTGTATTCGTATTTTATCATTGCACGCTCAAACTAGGGCGATTCGGAAATGCCGAAGGGTTGAGCCCGAGCGCTTTCGCCAAGGTTACATTCTCAATCAGACCGCGCCTGATCATCACATCTTCGCGGAATCAGCAGTCATGCTAAGGCTGCTAGGGGGTTCCAAGTACATCCTACTACATCGCGAGCACGTGCGGTTTGGGTCTTGTCTTTCACCTCGCGGGCCTTGGCTTCTAGGCTGCCCTGCTTAAGGCAAAAATTGGGCGGTCTGTCCATCAGACTTGCAACAGCCGAGTGTAGTTCGGCACGGCACAGCGCCATCTCAGAGAGGCTTCATGGCTGGGAAAAGGATGACCTCCTTGATGTTGTTCCTGGGCTGCAGTGTGGATTCTGGGATTCCGCATTACTTTGCTTTCTCTGCTTCTCTGCTCTCGGGACATCACCGCAGACCCTGACTGATATCTGGCAGGTGGTAGCTAACTTCAATTGGTCGCGGTGCTTGTCCGACAAGAACATGGTGAGGCGGTCAACGCCGCAACCCCAGCCTGACACAGCAGTTGCCTCGAATCTAGTGAAAGAGACTTCATCCGGCGGCCTCCTGTCGGTGGCAAGCCGTGCTCCAGGGCAGTGACGAAATCGTGGTCAACTCCTTGCGCTTCGTCGTCACCCTCTTGGGCTGCCTTTGCTTGGCCCATGAAGCACTGCAATTGCCTCTCCGGATCGTTCCTCGGGTCACTAAGGACATCCACATGTACCGTGCTTCCACGCTTGGGAACATTCGAAACACCGACGCTGTCAAGGCACAGCTCCGTATATGCATTGCAAATCTCCTTTGTGTTGACGAAGAGCTCGAAACGCTCCGTCAAGCCAGTTTTGCTTCTGTGCCACTTGGCCAGCGGGCTCATCACTTGAGGATGCTCGGTGATGAATGTTGGGTTGACCTGAATCCGAAGCCAGGACGACAACAGTCTTTTAATGGTGAGCCTTAGACCAGACCTAGCCATCATAGCCAGTATGGCAGCTGAGAAGCAATGTTGTCTTCGATGAAGTGGCCACAGAGCTTGTCCAACAGCCTTGCGGCAGATCGCGGCGGGGGGCATTCTAACTCCAGCTTGGTCACCTGGGCGCAGGGAATCAGAACTGGCTCGATGCATGCTGGCATCCAACAGCCGAAGTGCAAGGTCATCCAGCTGCTTCACCGTGGCCGGGTCGTCAAAATTGCGCCTTAATGCAGCCGTGAAAACCGAAAAACCGACTATTTCAAGAATGCACCCCTGAAATCGTATCAGTGCGACATCATGCAAGAACCCCTTCGGAGTGCCTCCCCAACGGCGCCTTGAACCCCAAACCAAAAGCTAAACTTGAAGCGCTCGCCGTAGCCGTAGTTGCAATCGTCGTAGCTTCAACATGCCACAAATCGGAAAGTCTGCATGCAAGGGGGGGGGGGACTGGAGGCATCAGTTCCTGTCAAAATCGGGCCGAGCTATATGAAAGAAGCCAGCCAGCAAGAACAGCCGCTGCAAGACAAAGGAGCGAGCTGCCTCTGCAGCAGTCAGAACGATCCAATGATATCCAATGCAACTTCTTCAGACACAGAACAGTACTGCAGTACGACGAACCTTCCTTTGGACTTTGATCGGTGCCCTTGGGGTGAACACAGCAAATATACACAAGTCTTCATTCTGCCAGATGGCCCCAGTTTGATATTGCCCTTCTTCTCGATCTCTTCAACCATGGAGATGCGCGGCCACGGTGGAGTGAAGTCAATCTCCACTGCTGGACCATCAGGTCCCTCCGGGTGATACTCAATTTTGTAACTTCCCTTGATGTTCAAAACCATGGCGCTGAAAAGCTCTTCGGTCATGTCCATCAGGTCATTGTAGTCTGCGTATGCCATGTAGAACTCACATGCTGTGAATTCTGGGTTGTGTGTCAGGTCAATGCCCTCATTGCGGAAGTTTCTGCCGATTTCAAAAACACGGTCCAAGCCACCGATGACCAACATCTTCAGGTAAAGCTCGGGAGCCACTCGCATAAACAAGTCTAAGTTCAGCTCGTTGTGGTGGGTAACAAAGGGCTTTGCAGTTGCACCGCCGGCAATCATATTCATCATGGGGGTCTCTACTTCGAGGAAACCACGGCTGTCAAGATAGTGCCGAATGAAATTGACAATCTTGGATCGGATGTAGAAGGTGCGCCTTACATCCTCGTTCAACATGAGATCCAAGTATCGCTTTCGATATCTCACTTCCTGGTCCTTCAGCCCTTGATGATCTTTTGGTAGCATGTGCAAACAAGTTGAGAGAAGCTTTACTGCTTTCGGGAAAACTGACAACTCGCCCTTGTTGGACTTGCCGACAAAACCACGAATACCCATAATGTCACCACGGTTGATCCTTGGTTGCTAAGAAAGCTGGGGAATCGAATTGGGTTATCAGATCCCTCTTTGCAGCCAGCAGTCTTCGCATGCTCCTCTGCAAAATCGCCATCTTCATGATGCTGTGCTTGGCACATCACTTGCACACGCACGCCGTCTGCAAAGAGATCGTAAAACAGCAGCTTCGCTCCAGATGTCCGCTTGTTCTTGACTCGACCGGCGATAGACACTATCCTTGGGACTTTGCAGGACTTGAAGCTTAGCTTAGCTTCCCTTCAAAGCTCAGAGATGGCTTGTTTTTGACAAGAAGCTCCGACTCCATGTGCGCCCCTGCCTCGATGTCTTTGTACTTCTCCACGAGGTGGGGGATAGAAATGGTCACATTCCACTTATGTGGATACGGGTCGGCCAGCTTTTTTAAGGCTGCAATCCGATTTTCTCTGTACTTTGTCGGATCCAAGTCCTCCCACTGCACAAGGCCTTCACTGACAGTTCATAGGGTCATAGGACCATTGGCAGAGCACCGACAACCGGAGTCCTCCAGATTTTCTTCTTGCGGCCTTCCAGAAGATTTAGCCTGAGCCAAATAAGCTAAGCCGATCTGCGAGTCATGACAGTAGTTGAACGTTGGGCATGTAGCGTCCCCACCTGCTCCTGCTTCTCAGCATTCTTCTTGGCCTTCTCCTCGGCCTTGGCCTTTGCCTCCGCCTCCTACCACAAACAAAAATGCACTCCAGTGTTGTTTTTCCTGCGAGCGCAGGAAGCCCCCGTCTCCTTCTTCAAACGCTTGCGTTCTGCTGCAGGCAGCCTGTCGGCTTTTTCAGCATCTGCCATGGCCTCTGTGCCTCTTCACAGGAGGACCCCGGATGACGAGCCCAAAGGCTGCGCAGGTCGTCTGGCACACGCAAACAAAGCACCTGTGATCGATGCGGAAGTTTCAGCCCGCGTGCTTGGTGAAAAAACATGTGTCCCGGACAGCGGAAGAGCAATATGTGGTCGTTACGCATCCATCAGGGTGTGACATTCTGCGGCAAAGGGCCGGAGAGGTAGGAAGGCACTTTTTGTCTGATTTGTGTGTGATTCGGACCTGCTGGATTGATGGCATTGAGGGCGGCGTGGCCGAAACGATTCGGCTAATGCGCAGACGTGTGAGCGACTTCAGGAGACGATGCAGAAGTCATGTTACACCCAGCAGCAGTTGTGAATCTGCACGCGGCATCACACCCGAAACTTCGCATATTACAACCTGCAAACGTCCACGAGCTGATGTTCAGGAGGATCGCCCTGATTCCAGAACACGGGAAGATTGGATGTCACTTTAGTCTGTGAGACGAAGATGGAGACAATTTCTGATGTTGTGGCAAAAGCTCTCATACCCCTTATTGTGGAGATATTTAGTTGTTTCGGACGCTTTTGCATGACCCCGGCACGCACAAAGTGGAACGAGTTGTGTGACACAACATGTCCACCGACAGATTACTGCAACCTGCACAAGACCAGCTACTCGTCGTCCAAAGAAGCTGCTGCTCATGGATGCACAGCTGCATCTGTTCGCATTTTCCATCGTTTGCATTAATGCTACCGGCAGCAGCTGTTCATGACAGTGGTCGAAATTGACCAAACGGTACGGCGTCCTTCAGGCAAAGCAGCAAGAAGCTGCACATTCTGCGACTGGTGCGTTGGCCTTGGGTCTGCATTCACTACATGTTATGTTTGAAAACTGTGGAAAGCATTTGGCGGGTCCGACCCTTTGAATTGCCAGGTGACTGGTATGCCGGCGAAAACTGTTGCATTATAGTCTGAAGTGCCGGGCACTTCTGCTAAGTCTTCACAAGGTTGGCATGATGGCATGGTGATGTAGACGACCACGAGATGCGCGACGCCTCAGTGGCCCGACGAAACAGGATGACGCCACTATGCACGTGTATCTACATTTGCTGCCGTCTAGTGTCTGTAGACTGCTCGGCCACATTCTTGCGCTGCTCTCATGATATCGATCCCCACCATTGCTTCCAAAATGCACTCAATGTGCTGCAAAGCCTTCCATTCGTCGTGAAGGTTGGACTCTCTAGCCTTCACGGTGTTTCTTACCAGGTCGTAGGAAAGCGTTGCCTGTGATCGGCAGGCTTGGTACTTGGAGCAAGTTGTGTTCATGGATAAGGAGAGATCACAGGCGGCCGAGTCAAGCTGCCGCTGCATCAAATCGCAGCTCTGCCGCTGGTGCTTAACTTCTTGGTCTTGAGTGTCACAGGCTGACTCTTGTAAATGGAGTGCACCAGTGGTGTTCTCGCACAGGAGCCGCCGGATTCGAATATTTTTCAACCTATCTTGGAAGACTTCAAGCATGCGATGGTGATAAGCCTCGGCGCTTTCACCGTTCAGCGTCGAGCAAACAGACATCTCTGGGATTCTGTCCAGCAGCCTTGCCGATTCGCAAGTTGAAGCATCGACCAGTCGTGAAGATTGCAGGGCGGTTCTGCAAGCCTCCAATCTGTCTTGCAGCAGGGACTCCTGTTTTCTGCATGCTTTGTGGTTTGCGATCAATACTGGGATCGCTTCTTGCTCAAGATAGGACTCGTTCAGACCGTCTCCACGCACCTCCTCACATTTGGAAAATAAGCCGCTGAATTCATCTATCTGAGACTGCATCTGACGGTACTCCGTCATAATCCTGGGTTTTAGTTCATTCGCTACCATTGTCATAACATCATCCTTGACTCCATGTAAGAGTTGCGAAGGAATTTGCGATGTGTTCTGAGCCATTGCGAGTAAAGTCGCCTCCAGATTTTGCAAATATGGGACTGCTGACCTCGATCTGTCAGAACCAAGCTTGAGTCTGGCCGTCTGGTTGAGGGCTGCGAGAAGCGATGCCAATTTCGGATGCAGATCACGCTGCGAGTCTTGCCGCAAGAGTAGACATCGAGTGGGCCAGACCAGAGTCAGCAGAAATGAGGCCAGCGCTACATTCATTGGCACCTGATCAAAGGCACCCACGGGCACCACATGGTGGCCAGGATGAAACCTGGCCCTACCTCCTGAGCCAAAGATCACACGATGTCGATCGAACTTCTGTGTCAACAAATGGCAACTCAAGCCGCTGCTTCCCTAGCGAACAAACGATTCACTGCATTCTAGTTTTAGACACCGCGTTCAAAAACCAGAAGTCTTTCCTTTCTCTTGCCGAGCGCGGAGCTTCCATTCGCGACTGCACTGCACGCATGCTGTCCTGCTGATGGCCCAGCAAACTCTGAGAAAGACGGATGACAACAGCGGTCTGTGTACAATCATCGGCTCAGCCGCATTGCCCGCCCAGCTTGCTGGTGGCGAAGCGAAGCTTTACGCAGATCGGCGGCCCAGGGCTTCTCCATCTTAAGCGCCTCAGAGAAAAGGTCTCACTTCGAGAAAAAGCAGGAGAGACAGCCGAGGCGCCGCACGAAGCTCCAGCATTGTTGCATCAGGATACATGTCCTCATTGATGGGACCGGGAGTCTCGGACATTTGCAATTCAGGACGGGCTTCTAGCCTGTGAAATAATCTGTATCAAGCATGGCCTAGTGGCTTGCAGAGGCTGAAACAGCTCATCCTTTGTCGCCTGTTTTCTCTTGATGCTGTCGGCTGAGATGCTAGAGAGCACGGCCTTAGACTGACGTCCACACTCAAAGGATGCAAGAACCCGAACCGCACTAGAAAGTGCTGAAGTTCTCCAGAGTTTCGCAGGGCTCAGCCTGCACCTCATCCAGAATTGCTACGAGTGTCTTTCGCTGCTTGTCATCCAAGAGATTGGACACGTCCATTATCATCTGTCTTGCTTGAGGCTTCGATGTTGAGTGGATTTGCTTCCAAGCTCGCTCAATGGCTCTTCCAGTCAGATCTGCTAGTCGGATCGGTTCTGGCACGTATGACCCCCCCTCCACATTACACGTCAAGACCACATTCCTGGCAGTGTCTTGTGAGAACCTGTGTCCAGCAGATACATACAGTCGCCGCGAACTGTCTTGACCCTTTGCTCTGGCAGCTGAAGTGCGAACAGCGAATCCGTAGATGAATCCACTGGTGCCAACAAGTGGCGCGCTATCACCTGGTCTTGACAACACCTTCTCTTCTACCGTCTGCCCGTGCTCTCTGTCGAAGTCCTCGAAGCAGAGAAGCTTCTTGGCCACGCCAATTGTGCGCAAGTTGTGCAGAATGCCAAAGTGCGAAGCTGAACCACACTGCCGCGGGTGGAACAGGCCAGATCCGTCAACCAAAAAAACGTCGGGTTCTACGTCGGGCGCACTGTCCCTCATGCGTTGCAGCAGCAGTTCGTACGCAGGAATTTCCCTCACGAACAGAAACCCAGAAATGTAGGGAAGAGCCATGTCCACATCAACGGAATCTTCGTAGATCAGCTTCAGGTGGCAACCTCGCAACTCACAGACAACCAGGACTGCTGTGGCCCGGTTGGTGCCATCCTCGAAGCTAATGTCGAGACCGCCTATCCGACGAAGATCATCGATCGTCCAACCATCATCATCCCAGTCTTGTAGACGAGAGCGCAAGCTCTTCTGCAAGCATTCCCAGTCGTTTAGTTGAAACGAGGTGACAGAGGCAGGCTCGAGATTCTGGACATGCTCCGTCACTGGCCGAGTCGCTGCAGCACATGCCCCACGCCAGAACACGGCTCTGTGACCAAGCAGGCCCAGCGACAGCAAATACGACATGTCCATGGCATCCGAAGTATCAGTCAAAGCACTAGCTTGCAGCTGTGAGAAGCGCCCGAGCCTTCGCAGGTCTAGATGAGCACTTGACACCTTCATTCTTCATTTTGCATCGCCGGTAGGCACCCTGTATACAAAGCTAACAGGGGGACCGGCTGTCAGACGCAGAGAATGAAAACTCGTCGAGTCTTTGCAACCTCCCAAAATGAGAAACCAGCACACGTGTTCTTTACACAGTATTGACTCTACACTGTCTGAAAAGTATAAATCTGAAAAAGGAACTCACCCCAGTGGCATAGTTTGGCTAAATTGATTCTCTTGCAGTTTGCAGTGCTCTGACATTGAAATCATGGCTGCAGCTACTAAAGCACCCGCAAGCAGCAGTTGAAGTGCTGCATGGAAACAGCATATGAGGCAGGCCCACTGTCGAACGGAGTGACAAGATCCTCACAACACCCCAAATGTTCTAATCGCAAAAATCCAACACACATGTCTCCGTCAGGCCACACCTACGATAGAGGCATCAGCTTTTATTCAAGCGACAGTAAACGGATGATCAGTGCTGGTGTTGTTAATAATCCCCGAAGTTCGCTGCAGGTCATGGGGTAGGGGCTGTCGGAGTTTTTGCAAACCGGCCCCAATGGTGTTGGTTCTGCAAAACATACTGCAACTCCAGCTCCAAGCCACACTGGCGTATCAGACGTATCATTCATTCGTGAAGCGTGATTCGCGTTGTGCATCATGTTCGATTCTACGAACTATTGCAAAAGTGACCCCGAACACTCTTGACCTTGCGCGCAGTGACAGCACGGCCGCCGTTCAGACCTATTTTCTCCTTCAGGCAGCTGCCTCTGGCAGACACTTGGAGGGCGCTGTGCGCCAGGGGACATTACCACGCTTTGTTGCTCAACCTTCAACTAGGGGTCAGCATCGGCCTCACCGGTCGCAAATCTTCGAGCAGGGAGATCTGCTGCGTCTCCTGACGGTTTGACAGGAAGCTCCAGACCCGAGGTCCGATGCCTCCTTGCAGTCAAAACACAGCCTCTTTCAGAGAACCTTGCACCTGACGGCTTCGAGCCAACTGACCTCAGCAGCAGTCCAAGCCAAGTAGAAACAGGGTCTGCCGAAACACTTGCCCGCCTGGGTGCAAATCTCGCTGAAATTTGCCGGACTCTGACGAGGCATTGCACAGTAGACGACCAACAGACAAAACGGGACCAGCACGAAGACTGGGACGACCAGCACCACCTGCACCATCTACACGGAGTGGAGCATGCTGCACGGCTCCAGACACCAATAGACACCACCACCAACACCGCACAAACATCTAGGCCTGGGCTGTTTGGTCTGGTTGTGAGTTGAACTTTCACCCGCAACGTAGGACGACCTACGACACACAGTCACGCAATATATCTGGACAGAGCCAAGCTTCATGTTCAGAATCCATCACTGGCCCGGGCCTTGTCGGGGCTCAAGAGCCTCATTCTTTCCTATTGATCCACTTCTTTGGCCATGTTGAAGCAACAGCACTTCGAGGGTACGAAAAAAGCTCGGATTGATTGACATCTTTGGCCATTTTGAAGCAGCAGCACTTTGATTCGAGGCACAAAAGCAGCAATCGCTCCCTCCCGGCACTCCTTGCATCCTTCTTGGCACGTCCTTTTTGGAGATAAGGGTTCATAAGGGTTCTACCACACACACACGCACACACACACACACACACACACACACACCCACCCTGAACAGGACACAGCGAGTCCTCCCGAGTCATCATCCCGAGTCGCATGTTTTCGTAGGTCAAAAAGCCTTTTTTGAAGCGTCTTGCCTGCCTCGTCGCCCCGGAGCTAGACAGGGCCTTCTTCCCGGAACCCCTTCTTCGAGTGGAAGCCACAGCCACGCCAACCGCCGGGACAACAGCGAGCCGTGAGTTGCGAGCAGCAGTCCGGTCGTAGAATTTTCGCAGTTCGTGCTTCTCCTGCTTGGCCATTTGTGGCGAGGGGAACCACTTGGTCTGTTGTTACCTGGTGCAAATACGCGCGTCGCAATCGCGACTAAAGCCGTGCCTGACCCAGACAACCTGTCACAACACTAGGACTTCGTTTTGCAGCACGTGGAACGGAAAGTCAGCATCCGCACAACAGCAGTGACAACGATATAGCGTTGAGACAACAGTGTTCTCCCACCACCGCTAACAACACTCCAACGCACAGCTAAGTCTTGGACGAGACAGAGCTTGGCGAGCATCTTTCCTGCATGGACAGCACAAGTCAAGATGCGAACAGGAGCAGCAGGACAACTACTAGTGTCGTTCTGTCGAGCCCAATTTTTGGTGCTGCATGGCTCCCGCATTCCAAACTATAGGCCATAAGAAGCACGGCAGGTCTCTCCGACTCTAGAGGGTGGCACTTGTGAAGCACAGCAACCTGGCAACATCACGACTCTCAGGGCATCCTTCACTCCACTAGCAGCTTCCAGGTGCTGTTTGCTGATAGTGTCAGCAATGCAATGCTCCGGCCAACAAATGTCTGTTCAGTCCGAATCCTACCCACTCTGCCGGCACTTCTCCCTCGGACGTTTCGACTGTCCAAACATACCACAGCTCGATAGGTCTCCCATCACCGCGTTTCGTGCTGAACCACATGCATGCAAGTGGTCCTCTGAATTCTTCGGGCATAGCCTACACTAGTAATCAACAGCTGCAACGCTGTGAGGAGCACTCCCCCCCGCTGCGGTGACTTTCCTGGCTTGGGGTGTCGGCAAGCATGGTCTTCACCTGCTACCCTGCTCAAAAACGCACGACACGGCCGCATGGAAGGAAGGCCGCACTCTGTCCCAAAACTAAAACTGACGGTCTCACTCCGTCTAGAGACCGTGCAGGGTGTCCATGTTGTCGGATCCGTGGTTGCCGCGAGAATCGCAACTTTGGCAAAAGCTGACAGGCAACACTATCCCATGACCCCAAGATATCGCAATCCCTCCACTCGAACTGATTGCGGGACTCTCATTTGGCCCACCCGACGGGCAAGACCTTTGGGTGCAGGCTCGCTCCATGCCCTAATCAATGCCTCAGCAGCCGTGCAAAATCCATGGGGGGCCTTTTGCAGACAACCGGTGAAGGCTTGCAGTCCTGCTCTGCTGCAGCAGCGCCAGCGCGCGAAACGTTTCCTCGCAAAATTGAGAGCAAGTGCTGAGGCACACGAGCGACAAGGTGGCGCGCCTTTTAGTTTGGCACGTAGACCTGCGTATCATGATTTATTGCTTACCTTGGAAAGAAATAGCAACACGCACGCTGCTCCATTCTACAACCGGTTCACCAGCTGTCCTTTTCCGCTGTTTCCGGGATTCTCTGCTGCGCTTGTGTCTCTTTCTCCTTGGCAGTCTAGGAGGGCAAGGGGTACGTGCCAAGCCGGCCCTCACGAATGCTCTGCAACTACACTAAACATATCGAAACCCCCCTTTCGGAACACTTGGTTGCTGAACTTATGAGTGCCTGGCAAAACTGGTCACAGAGCGGACAAGGTGCAAATCAGTGTTTACGGAAAAGAATTAGCCAGTGGGCCTACATGGCCGGCCTGCCTTCGCAAGGTCAGCTCCGCCAGCAGGTGCTGGCTTGTAATGGGAGTGCCGGCGCATCGCGTTTTTGGTGCTTAGTGTGCCTTCCCATGGATGGGCTGGGAGACACCACCCGTGAGAAGCTGCTTAGCAGGCTTAGCGCCCTCACTGCCTGCTTCAGCACTGAGAAACTTGCGTCGCCAGACCTTAGGAAGCCCTTTTCGATGTCCCAGCTCACTTGAGCATGGTGGTATGTTCCCGAAATAGCATTCTTAGATGTTAATCTAATGCGGCCTGCCCGGAGCTGAGCCTGAGATCTTTTTCGCTCCGTTTGCCAGGCGACTCGGGTCACCCGGACCCGGGAGCTCTCAGACATGTCGCTTCTACGCACATGCTGCTGCTGTTGACCACAGGTCGACGATTAGAGAGGCCGCGATGCTGTCTAGGGCCTAGGGTTTGTGGACAACAGGGTGTGGGGTGGCTTGGTTGATGTTCTTGAGGCTCGCTCGCCTCTTTCGATGCTCACAATTTTCTCTCTTCCTCCCCTCGCAGGCTTCGGGCCTCGGGGGGAAGAGGCTGAGGTGCAGTTTCTTTCACCTGTAGGTTTTCTAAGACTGACAAGGACGGCACAGCAACTACTTAAGTATCACTTCTTCTATTAGCCAGGACACAAGCACTTGCAGCTCCACCACTAGCGACTCTGTCCTTGGTCATGTGTTTGCCAACATTGTTGGCGGGGGATGGTGTGTTGCAAGGAATACCGGCCGTCTGGAAATCCACTTTTCAAATCTTTGCATCTGTGGCATCTCCGACTTCCTGCTGGCAAAGCTCCGATCTTGCAAACGACCCGCCCAATCATCCTCCAGGAATGCCGCTTCTTGCATTCAGAGTGGTTCTGGCAGCAAATTCCAGTCCTCTTCCTTTACTCGCCTTAGGATGGAAGCCACACTCAAGAAACATCAACTCGGCACAGCCCAAGCACTGGTGAAGCAGCAGCTGCTCTCGTCGCTGCTGGTTCAAAGCTGCCCAGACTGCCCCAAGCCAATCCTGGAAAGTTCATGACCATCAAACATGCCAAGTGGACCACGCCTGCACAATCGAGCTGTCTAGGTGCAAATTGCACAAGAGTGATGCCTCAGCCTGATCCTTGGCTCGGCGCAGCCTTGGAATGCAAGCAACATTCACTTCTAAGCTCAAAAGAATAACAGAAACATGATCCACGCAATTGCACGAGTGTGGGGGCAGATTGGTTTCACAACTCACATGCAACTCTGAGCCCAACTCACACACACACACAACATCACACAACATCACACAACATCACACAACATCACACAACACACTCCAACAGTTTTGAAGACCGAGGCGCTCTTCGACCTGCATTGCCAGCCTCTCCAATGAGTTGCGCATCTCGCCAAGGACACGTTGACTGTTTCCTCGTCTTTGACAGATTCTGGGCCGAGAACGGTGCTGAGACCACGACTGGGGCAAGGATGCCCTTGGCACATTGATATCAAAAAGCCGCACAAATCAAGCCATCTTCGGATTTGGCGTTGCAATTCACACATGGCTCTCTTCTTTGCCCGCCCATCCCTCTGTGCCCTAAACTCATCAAGACCTGAAAGAACGACGACACACCGCAATGCACATGGCCTGGGCCTGGGTCATGGGTCCGGTTCCAAATAGAGCCCGTCAGCTGATTTTCTTGAAAACGCTTCTGCAAGGGCTGGGTAAGCTTTCGTCAGAATCTTCTCAGAGTCTCCAGGACAGCCCTAGTTTGTATCACTTCACATGCAACCAAAAACAGATCTACAGATAGGGGCGGGAGGCGCTCGAGGTCGTCTGCCTGCTCCTCCAAGTCTGCGATTTCACGCAGCATGTCCTCAAACGACGCTACAGTTGCTGTTTATCGACACTAGTCATGACCTATAGATCTCTCAGGAAAACTTGTGCAGGAACTCCATTGGAGACTTGGAGACATGAAGTGCTGGAGTGCTTTGAGGGGAGGGCGGGGTTGTGCCTGACACAAGCATCCACCAGTGGCTCTACATGAATCACCACATTCAATATTTACCTCATCTAACTTGCATGACGCGCTGCAGCTGCAGACATCCGGCGTTTCTCCAGCAGCATCCTGGGAGCTTGCGGTCGGCAAACAAAGGCTTGTAACAGATCGGGAGCTGGGGAGCTCTGGGAGCTCTCCTCTCGTCAGCAAGCAGCTGCTGCAGCTCTGCCATTTCCTTCTGTTTCTGGAGCGACTCCCTGAGCTCACTTCCTCACAACACAACTGGCAGAACATCACGGAACCATAGAGCCAAAGATCGCGCCCTAAACCCTGAGCCAGGAAGCTCTCAGTCAAAAGCGAGACCACTTCGGCCCTGAAGTCGGAGTGCACGTCTGCAGCCTGAACACTCGCGTACAGTCGCTGTACAACTTCGCGCTTTCTGAGCAAGACCCTCACGTGCACCTCAGCTTCCACCAACAGCGTCGAACCCGGCTGGTCCTGTGTTCTGGCGAACTGCCACGAAGCGGAGGCACCTTCCTTATTTCATCCTTCTCCGCCAACTCCAGTCTTTGGGCAAGATCGCGAGCGTCCCGGGAACACTCCTTTGAACGATTCTCCGACGTCAGGCTTCCTCGCAATCATGTGGCCCGTCCTCCATCGCTTGCCTCATTTGACACTAGCAAATTCGTTCATGTGAGTTTGATGCTGTTATCTTTTAACTCGAGCCAGCCATCACTTGAGCTTAGCATCCGTTTTTGCCTGGCACCGTTCTTGAGGGAGTCCAGCTCGAGGTTCAACACTGCAGCCCGGTGCTGCAAGTCCCGGCAACGCTCGGCCAGGCCACTTGCAGCACCCATGCCACCTCAGAGGTCAAACCAGTAAACCAACAACAACGACGACAACAAGAAACAACCACTAACACCGCACGAAGCACCGACAAACAACAACAGCAAGCAAACGACAACAACCACCACCACCACCA